GACCAACGCGATAGAGATGGTTTAGCGGGAAGTCACGAAGCTCGTGAAAGAGCTATCCAGCATGATATACCCCGACAAACTACGCTCTCTAAATCGATATGTTATATAGTACAAACGAGCCAGAGGCGACCTTATTCTTCTAAGGATCACCCGATTCAACACCTGTTTACATTGTCGACGTGACAGCCGTTTATCTGCCAAGGGTCGAGTGTACTCTACGGACGTCAGGCCAGTGCTTCTCTATGATTCAGAAACATGGCCACTGCGGGTGAAGGATATACGAAGATTGTCGGTATTTGAACACCGATGTCTTCGTAGCACTTCTCGAATCTGGTGGGAGCATCGTAAAAGCTGTCCATCACAACGAGATTGCACCTTGGCGTGGTGTGATGGCCTGTATGCCTCAATGACCCAAAGAATTATGCAGAACGGCTCCTCAAAGTCGGAGATGCAACCACGCCTAACAGGTCAATGGGTAGAGGTCAGACGAAGTCCAGTCTCAGAACCAGTTGATGGGCAACATCTAGTTCTAACCACTATGCCCCTGGAGAGGACACTCCAGCGAATAAACACGGAGAGAAGCAGTTTACCAGTCTAAAACCCTCCACTAGATGGACGTGAGAGGGGGTTTCTCTCGACGATGGAAGAAGTCATCGCACTTCATTGGGCAGCTATCTCCCGCCTAAGCTGGGCATCCCCCAGACCACAGGATGCTGCCTCGTCCACGTTCTGCTTGCTAGATTGGGTGCATGGGGCTATGGAATGAATCCGAAAAGTGAATCGATAACAAAGCACCAGCGAAGACAAGACAGAATGCTTGCAACAACCAGGTCCTACGTGTCAGACCAGAAGAAGTTCCTTCACGGGTTCCTCGGCCCCGTTCCTGTGCTAGGTTTGGGGTTCCCAAGGAAAAACCCCTCAGCAATGTGGGCAGCCGCGAAGTATGATTTTCCCAGAAACCAGCATCTTTTCTGTAAAGGGCTTTACAAACCTTTCCTCCCCTAATTCAAGATCGAAACAAAACGCCACGGGTAACTGTGGCTTTGAGGAGAACAGTAATTCAGTTGGGTATAAATCGAATGGCTGCTTTTAACGTCCGCACACTATATCAGATAGGGCAACAGGTTGCCATCTCTAGAACTCTTGACACTTTCAAAATGGATGTATGCTGTGTCTCTGGAACGCAAATGCAAGACCTCACTTATGTAATCACTCTTCTCACCCCAGGTACAACCTCATTCTATTGCTTTACTCTTCGTGTGTCGAGTGATCCGGTTTCTAGTGCTCGTGGTCATGCCGGCGTTGGAATTGCTTTGCGCATGAAAGCTGGGCGTGCACTGCTAGGCTGGATTCCAGTCATCAGTCGTTTGTGTGCAATTCGGTTGGACGGTTCTGTTCATGTCAATAGCAACAGACTGAAGTTTCGGTGCTTGTTCGTGGTGTCTCTGTATACGACCACTGACTACAGTTCCTCTGAAAGCCAGGACGAATTCTACCCTGATTTGTCTCAGCGGCTTCGAAGCATGCGTTCAACGGATGTGGTGGTCATTGCTGGGGATTTCAATGCACAAGTTGGCCGTTTGGAAGATTCTGAAAGGCACATAGGAGGCCAATTTGCTATCCCAGCCGATCGTACAGATAACGACGATCGTCTCACTCAGCTGTGCCCTGACAGAAGGCTGTTTCTGGCAAGTACGAACTGCTGCCATAAGAAGCAGCGTGGACTCACGTGGTATCCAACTACGTCTCCACAACGTTATACTCACATTAGCCATATCGTAAATGGTCACCGCTGGCGTAAATCAATTGAATATTGTCGTTCATTTTGGTCCACGCCTGGGGACTCAGATTATGCCTTGGTACATGCTCGTTTCTGTTTACGTGTCGTCCGTAGTTGCACCAACGTAGAATCAACCCGTCCCACATAGATGCCTCTTGATGATAACCGACAGTCTGCTTTTTCAGACAGAACTGTTTGCACGGTTATCGATGAAGCCGGATGTGCACAACCCAGATGAACGCTGGGAACAGATCAAAGGAACCTTGTATGCCTCTTCGAATGCCACCCAGGACTCTCCTTCAAGTAGGTATCACAAACGATGGGTACCTTCAGCATCAGTTGCCCTGTTGGATGCTCACAGATCCGTCCCTCCGGATGCCACATTCAACGAAGTGCATAAATCCATGAGACGCCAACTGACTAGGAGCCTGAGAAGTGACCATGAGCAGTGGTGGATTGCAAAATGTAGGGAAATGGAAAAGGCTGCATTTGATGCAATACTCGCAGCCTATTCCGTTTGAATAGAGGTACTGGTCCACGGAAGCCCGGTGTAAGTGAGTTAGTTGAGGACACCGACGGCTCACTGATTCACTCTTAGGGACGTTGTCTGAAACGTTGGATGGAGCATTTTAACGACGGAGGCGAAGCTTTGGTTTCTGCGTCGACAAAACTCATCCGGGTTATTTGGAACAGTGAGCGGATTCCCAGGGAATAGTGTGAGTCTGTGATTGTGCCGATTCACAAGAAAGTTGACAGATACTCTTGTGGAAACCACAGAGGAATTAGGTTGATAAGTATCGTGTCCAAACTCCTCACGCGTGAAAATTAGTCCGGTTTCAGACCCGGTCGGGGTTGTGTCGACCACATCTTCACTCTTCAAAAAACCTCCATTTGACCGCATAGTTCTCTGCCTCTCATTAAACAGTGTGCCAGAAAATTTTTATTCTCTTTTCCAATGCTTGTGTGCAAACAGCCAAAGCTGAGTTCGTGCTTAAAGCGACCTTCCACCCGAGTTCACCACGGAAAGGGGTGTTCGTCAGGGTTGTCCTCTTTTACCCTTCCTCTTCAGTTTTGTGGTTGAATTGATTCTTGAGATAGCCCTATCCTCGTGTGAGACTAGCGGCATCGACCTCTGCGCAGGCAGTAAACTGTCTGACTTGGAACACGCGGTCGATATTGTTCTTCTGAGTGAAGCTCCAGGTAAGTTGCAAGCTCTCTTAGAAAGCTTAGACAACAGCGTAGCAATGTTTGGAATGTTTTGCACCTTCAAAGTGTAAAACTCCGTTGCAGGACTTGGTTGGCTTCACACCGAATCTTATATTGGCAGGGATACTCTAACTGAAGGGGATAAGTTTTGTAACCTGGGAAGTTACATTTCATCAGGTGGACAGATATAGGATGAAGTGCCATCGCGTATACAGAGGGTGCGTTTGGCTTTTGCCAACTTCAGCCATTTGTGGCGTCGGTGTGACATCTGGTTGTCTATCAACGGTCGGGTGTGCAATGCGGTGGTTAGGTCCGTTCTATTCGGTTCAGAAACATGGCCGTTAAGGGTGGATGATAGACTAAGACTGTCGGTGTTCGAACATCGATGTCTTCGTAGCATTACCCGAATATGATAAGAACACCGTATTAGCAATACTGAGGTTAGGCGGAAGGCATTGGGAACCAGAGGTCAGTCTGTGGATCACGCACTAAATCTAAACAAATTAAGGTGGCTGGGACATGTGTTACGCATGTCCACCGATAGACTTCCTCGGCGTGCGCTGTTCTTCGAGGCAGGTTTTGGTTGGAAGGTAGGAAGGTGGTCAATCCGTAGCATGGCAAAAAGGTATGAAAACTTTGACTAGTGGACTTGATCAAGTATGACATGTTGGATTTTCAAGTTGGGGTTCACGTGATCCGCCTACCAAGTGGTTAGAAACAATCAGGGATATGGCTGGGTGTTGCGAACAGTGGCCTAGTTGCATTCAAACTCTCTCCTCGTCTTCGTGGTTTTCACTTAGTGCTTTGATTTTCGGATCTTTCCTACTATTTTATTTACTTATTTTCTTAATTACGTGCTTGCGCGTGAGTGCAGTGCAAGGGATCTATTCCCCATAGCCACGAAGGCTCACTGCACTGTTGGGAATAACCAGTAACCGAACTCTGAGACATGGAGTAGCAAAAATCCACATAAGGTCCCAACAGGTCAGGTGTGGTAACGACCCGGACGACAGTGAATTACTGTCTACTACTTAATTAATCAGTGATGGTGCGGATTCGAACCTCGGACCTCCGAGGTGGTAAGCTATTGCTCTAAACCACTCGACCACCACCGGTCACTGTCTGTCCTTTGCTGGACGACGCTAAAAGGTAGCAACTGAAACCAGAGCACAGAAGTGCTAGGTTTTTGGTTGTATAAACTGAACTGAAACTGAACCGTAAAAGCAATGCTCAGGTTCAGCGGAGAGTTTTAGGTTCAAGAACCACATCATTAGATGGAACACTTAAGCGCACCAGGCTAAGATGGTTGAGACATATGCTGCGCATGTCCTCTGGCACGATTCCTCGGCGCGCCATGTTTACTGAGACGGATACCAGCTGGAAGATGAGTAAGGACGGCCGGTCCATGACATGGAAGAAAGGTATGAAAAACCTAACCTGTGGACTTGGCCATGTCGGGCATGTTTGACTTCCCGGGTGGTATCCAAGAGACCCTCCCACTCATTGGTTGTATACGTTAGAGGAAGTGGCTAGGTCTCGCGATTAGTGGCGCTCTAGTATTCACAAACTTCTTTTATCCACTTGGTGCCAATATTTGTAGTTCTCTTATTGTTCCTTTAATATTCCTATCCTTTCTTATTGTTTCTGATTGAGTCTATCGCCAGGAGGTATCAACCAAAGCCACCGCACCCAGTGCTTGGTAATGGTCGTCAGAACTGAACTAAAACTGAACTGTGGTACTCTGTTTATCTACTGGTTATCATGTGGTTCCGTGTAATTTAGTTGGCACACAGTAGTGTGATTATGTATTTACTATGGTCTAGAGTTTTCCATATCTTTTATTGAACTTTCCAGAAAAAAGTTTTCGAAGTTTCCTACAGGCAGCTTTTCGCTGTCAACAGCAATCAGTGTGCTCCTATAACCGTGTTCTATTGACTTTATGACGCATTCCCTCGGAGTGAACTACGGTGGTCTCTCGATCACTATTATTTCGGGAGTTTTGTAATGTGATTCGATGTTCAGATCAACCATAATCTTACTACAGTTCATTTGGACTTTCGGGAAGACTGTCGTGATAGAGAACCCCCAAAGTGCTTTTGGACTGGAGAATCAAAAAATCGTTCTCCGCTGTCACGTGCATGGAAGTGGAAACGTTTCATTCCGATGGCTCAGGGGCAAATCTGTTATACAGACAAATCCTCCTGAAAGAAAAATTACTGTGGCGAATCAAACTGATGGTTCTGTTATATCGTCTCTTACGATACACCTCACAAGAAATAATGAGGGCGAGTATTACTGCAACGCTACAGATAACGATGAATGGATTCAGTCACAAAAGGCAGAGGTACGAATCGCCTTCTTGGAAGAACAGTTCATATTAGAGCCTCAAGAAAAAACTGTGAGTGTAGGAGAAACGGTGTTACTTGAGTGCAGGCCTCCAAAAGGTCTGCCAAAACCATCTGTGAAATGGATCAAAGACAATACCACTGTTGATGTAGACGAACGGACGCAAATTTTAGAAAATGGGAACTTGCGGATCGATAGGATAATTTGGAAGGATAGCGGTGCTTATGCATGCGTTGCAGAGTCTTTCGCATTCCATCGTCAAAGTTCCAGTGCAAACCTAGTTGTCCGACAGCGTCCCTATTTTGTTTCATCTCCAATCAGTCAGTCGGTCCCCATCCATAGCTCGTTTGAGCTTGGTTGCAGTGCCGCTGGGGAACCTTTACCGGTGATTGTGTGGCGTCGGGACCCGCCATTTCTGGAAATCCCATTCGAACGAACCAGATTGTTACCACGTGGGACGTTGCAGTTTAATCGTGTGCAGCTGGAGGATGCTGGGGACTACGTTTGCCGGGCCATTAGCTCCGCTGGGATTATTGAAGCCATTGCTCAAGTTAACGTTGTTTCTCCTCCTGGACTTGTGAAAACACCGCCGCATACTGTTTTTACTCTTGAAGGTGTTCGTGTGGAACTCCCATGCAAAGCTCTAGGTTCTCCAACTCCCGATATACGCTGGATGCGACATAACCCCGAGACTTATCTAGTGGCAGATGCTGGAAATTCGGTCGATCGTGTTGTTATGACGCCCTCTGGTACTCTATTGATATATGCTACCAGGCTCGACGACTCATCGACTTATGAATGTCGTGCATCCTCTCCTGCTGGTTTGACGCGTAGTGTGACTGTACTCACTGTTCAACCAAACCCTAACCTTGAGCCCGCTAGAATCGGTGCATTTTCCGCAGGTCGCATGTTCTTGCCACTTGCAACACAACATAAGACTGTCAGAATCATTTGCGAATTTCCGAGTGTATCTTTCGAAAAAGATCACTCTCGCATTAAGCACGGACAACCTGCTTCCATTCGCAATGACAAAGCCTCCATATTGTGGCTGGTAAATGGCAAGTCGTTAAGAAATCACTTCCCAAATCCGAACAAAACCCACATTGAACATGATGGTTCTCTTCTTATCAATCATTTTGATTTGTCGGATAAAGGTAATTACACATGCACCGTGTTCAATCACGTCAGTCGGAGATATTCAACCTGGAACTTCGAATTATTGGTCAGTGTAAACGCTAAAGATTCAGAAGTTAAACCGTTACATTCGACATCTTTACCAAATCCCCCTTCGTCGCTTGTCGTTACAGGTATTGGTGACACCTGGATGAGTTTTCGATGGACCGATGACGCCAAAGATTACCCCGGTGTTCCTATTTATAGATTGTATTACCTTCCCATTATATCTGGCCAATTCTCTGGTTCTAATAGAAAGCACGATCCCCTAGATGAAGCCACCACCACTGGGCAAGAAAGGATATCACCTAAGCTTGATGTATGGATGCACACACCCGATATTGTTCGTAACACGCAGACAAGAATATCTAGTCTTCTGCCCAATACTGGGTACTGGATTGAAGTAAGAAAGACGAACGACGCAGGCACGAGCTCGGGTTTCATTTATCCAAAAATTGTATATACTCTCAGAAAACCCAATACAGCTATGTTTCTTGATGGTATCAGTAATAATGGTTCCGGGTTCGAGCAAAGAACAGATCGCACACATTCTCTAGTCAACAGCAACACCGCAGTAGATTATCAAGAAATGTCGACCAATTTCCAGTCAATAAGCTTTTCTGATATTAAAGTGCGTAGTCTAACAACTACCGAAATTTTAACAAGCTGGACAACGCGTTCAACCGGTAACATATTGAATCAAATCGACGGGTTCCGTATGAATATCAAACCAGTCCCAATGACGAGATGTCTGGTCACTGCTACATCTGGATCGCTGGACCAGTTATCTTCCTTTCCCTATCAGGATCGTGCCAAAGCCCCACTGGAGTTAGACGACACTGTTTCACATTCGGAATCTTATATGTCCCCAGTGCACTGTAGTCTATCTTCCGATGCACTGATTCAGCAGATAATACGCATGTCTAACACAGTTGCAAACTACCCGGTGAGCATTTACGAAACTTCTCTCCGTCATCCAGAGTCTCAGACAGTTATTGTGGGTCGGTCAATTTCTTCTGTCAATCCAACAACAAAAGCCGTTGGGGGTGGTCTTCATCCTTTCACATGCTATGAGGTTGATGTTGAAGCTTTCCGAGACGATATCGTTTACGGACGCATGTGGAGCAGAACAAGTCGTTCTACTCTGGCATTGACTCTAGATTCCTCCCCGAGCTACTCACCACATCTAGTCAATGCCCACTGGTTGTTTGATGTCGTTGGAGTTGGAAACGAATCCATTACTGAGCGTTCCGGAGCAAAGTTGAATGTTGTGCGTCTTGCTTGGAGGCCGTTGGAGCTCCGTATGGCACACGGTGCTCTTATTGGATACGTGATTCACTTCCTGGCAAATGATACTCAACAGAGCCGAACAATACACGTGAGTCTTGTCTATCAATTTTATCTTGACTGCCATGTTCATCACAGTAATTTTTTACCGTGAACTAAGCAAAATTCATCATCATGAATCCGGCTTCCATTGTCTTAGAGTTACTATGTATATTTTCCAATCAATCTCGGCCTCAGAGACGGCTGCAATATTCTCTGATTATGTTACTTCTTCACTAATTCATTGTCTGTAGGTGATAAACACTGGTTATTATATCCGAAAAACACTGAATTTTGACAGGCTTCCTTCAGAGTTTTTGCGTCATAAGAAACCAGTTTTTTATTTATTGATCACTAAATTGTCCGCCTCGCCAAAAGCCCTTTATGAATGTGGTGTTCTCATAAACTCCAGCTCTGAACCAGTCACCTTTAAAACTTATCCTAGTTTTTGAAGGGCATCGTTACGATAAAATAAAATGAAGGTACACTAGTGACCGTTAAATTTGGTCTCCTAGGTGAATGAAGTTCATTTTCTTTGTCAATGGAAGACCGACAACAAGATGCTCACTTATCTGTCCGATATTAACAGACCACGATGAATAACTGCTCCGCAGCCAGAGGTTCGACTAATATGACAAATGTGATGAAGATTTTAAGTCCATATGACTCTTTTAGTCCCATGAAGCAGAAGTTCAATTGCGTTTATATATATATATATATATATATATATATATATATATATATATATATATATATATATATATATATATCCTGCGGTTAACCACGAATAAGGTTGCCTCAACAAATAAACGGTCGTGGACGATCAGCAGCAGTGCTCGAGAATGTGGTGCGATTTTCGCTCAGCGTTCTTCACTCTAAAAGGCCACAAAAGTCTGCTGACATCAGTGACATAGCGAGCGTGTCCCACCACTAAATAAAGCAATAACGTGTCGTCGTATTCGCTTGCGTTAGCACCTCGCTGAATGAATCGGCGAATTTCTGAGATAATTGACCTTGGATGATATCTAAACAGTCACAGTTACTTCTTGCCTGTTCTTGTCTTAACCAATCGCTTTGGACAAGTACCTTTATAGTTCTGGGTATTTACGATTTAACTTCTGTTCTTTTGCCACATGGTTGGATTATCGCAGTCTCCAACAACAGGCTATATAGACTTAGAACGTGATGTTTCGGACATTTGCGTATTCTCGGTGTAAAGGTGCATCAGAGTGCAAAGGAATAATTTCTCAATCTTTGAAAGTAGTTCATTGCTTTATTTTAAAAAAGTGCTGTTTCAGTGGGAAGTTTTAGGCGGTAGTTGCGGAGACCGGAGGAAAAATAGTCCAACTCGAAAGTTCCAAACATACAGAGCGTAACAGCGACCTTTTAGTTTCTTCGAGGTAGTGGTATTTCTATTCCATACTTTACAAATGAATGGAGCACCCAATAAAGCTCACTGCACTCTTGAGAATAACTGACAGTCATGACCCTACGATTTGAAGTGCCCTTTCTGTCAGACTTTTAATTTCCTACACAGAGAATCGGTATGTGTCAGGTATGCTGTGAACCAGTTTCGCGTTACCTACTAACGAAACCCATTATTCTTTCTTCTGGATTCATTTTGCTGTGACAGGTCCCAGCTGACGCCGTTACGCGTGACATATTTGGATTAAGTCCCCATGTGGAATATACAATCTATCTCGCGGGTGTTACTTGCCGAGGTGAGGGTGTTCGCGGTGCTGGATTTCGCTTGCCTCCGGCTATCTCTCTTTGGCGTAAAACACACGGGTCAGAATTTTCAGAACTTGGTGTTATCACGGATTCTAGTTTATATTTCCCTCCTTGGGCTTATGGAATTATCGCTGGAATTGTGTTGTTTTGGATTGCGATTGGCTTACTGGCTCCGCTGCTGGGACGTCGCTCCACCGTCAAACATAATATTGTTACTTCCTTTAAAACCCGCAACATAACTGGTAGTCCTGACCACCGAGGGCTGTTGTCTAGATTTTCCTTCCCTTCATGTCATTGGTGCGCTTGGAGTGAGTCTATAAGACCAAATCGGACAATTGAAACAAAAACCCAGTCCTCTGTAGACGATACAGTTGACCGGGGACCTGAAGTGGAACCTACTTATACGTTATCACCTGCGTTGTCCGAGAACCATGTAGAGATGACCACACTTTTACAGCGTGCAGTAGATGTGCGAACGTTATCCAACTCATCGGAACGCACATCCAGCGAATGTCATAGTAGACAGTCTGATCTGAGACGTGCGGTTCTATCCAGCGGAAGCCATAGCCAATCGATCCCGAAACTTTCCATTGGTTCCTCGAAGCAGGATTTTGATTCATCCAATATGCTCCCGGCAGACAATGCCGAGGTATATGCAAACAGTGATCCATCGGTTGTGTCTCATCCACACAGTCCATCTCCAACGAATTTTGCGTCTACACTGTACTCTCAGAATAATCAGGGCATCGGATCTCTGAATCAACCGTTCACAAAACCACAACTTCCAGACTCCATCAATATTCCATTTCCTTTGCCACCGAATTATCAAACAAACGGTGTAAACACGGTGGCTGATGAACCTTGTGACACGATCATCAACCGCCATCCGATTTGTGACTATATTGGCTCAACCTATTCTCACGGAACCCAGGCCTATCCAAATGTTCAAGACAATTCGCATGATGATGCAGTTCCTCCGTACGCCAGCTGCACGGTTCTTCCAGTTTCGGAACAGTCGTTCTCCGGTTCCTTTGTCCATCCACTGCCCGGGTCCACATTACGTCAGGGTAGCTTTTTTGTCCCTGACGCATTCGTAAGTCGTTGTCCACTATTGGTCCTCCTCTCCATGGACGCTTTCACAATTAATAGTTTCTTTTGTTAACCACCATAACTATGTATATATTGCCGATGAATATCTCAAAACCAGCTGTACAACATTATGTAAACTGATTCCTCAGAATTAAACAACCGTGTATGCTGACGAGAACATTGAATATCAATAAATTAGTCACATTCATGATTAGTTGGCGTCAAATCATTGTTTTTGTAATCATACGTGGATTGCTCATTCATGGCGTTTTTGATTGTAGATTAATTCACACTTGTTATTTTGCAGTTTGAATTTAAGTCTTCTGATTTTCCATTTCTCGGTTGAATGTCCAGCTTTTTAACAGTCGCCGGTCGTCCGCTTAGCATTCACTTCCTCTCATATATATGAACGGACCACGTTTTTTTGTTGCATTCTTGCTTGAGTGCAGTAGAAGGGGTATGCCCTATAGCCTCGAAGGCCCGCTACACTATGAGGTAGAACTGACAACTAAACCAGTCCCCAAAATTTGGAGTGGAGAACTCCATTAGGTCAGACCCAGTAAAAAACCGGGCAACATCTGATTACTGTCTGCAGCCAAAGTGACCGGTAAGGCGGGATTAGGACCTTTAACGTCTTGGGTGTCAGATACACACTCTAAACCAGTGGACCACCCGATAGTTATCGGGTTTCCAAAGACGATAAAATTTTTGTAGTTTTATCTCATTAAATATCAAAATATTATTTTATTTTCTCCTCTCAGTTTGATACCGTTATTGTGTTTATCTTCACGTAGAGATTTCATTTAACCATTTGAATCTTTCTAATGATTTTTACTCACTCGCGGTTTCCTGACCTTTAAACTTTGCATCAAAATACGGGCTGTTTTGAAGATATGAACATCTAGTAACTAGACTTTTTTGAAATGATCCACATTGAGACCACAATGTGTCGACGCAAAACTGTAGTAATTCAAACCCTAGCCTGATGAGAACAATATTTTTATTTTCACTTTTGTACCCTCATTTGTCGAAATAGGAATGAGATAAGTTGATGAAACTAAGTTCCCCTTCGCTCCATACTGACAGCTTGCGCTTTAAATCTTCTGAGTGGAATGTCACTTCTGACAACTAGGTTCCATAACCAAAATCGCTTCACCTATTGGTTCTTGATTGCCTGCGCACTTTTGTGCATATATGTGCTTGCTCAGAGATCGACATCAAAAAGGCCAGATCGTCTATTGCTTTCTTAATCGGCGTGACTTAGCCTAAGGACAATTGATACCGAACTTTATGTAGTACTTTGATGATGTGCACCTCTGTTTCTGGAATTTAGAACAATCGAGGGGATCATCTCATCTAGTATTGTGCGTAGCCAGAATATTTGGAGGAAATAACAATATTTTCGTTTAATAGTCATTGATTCATGAGAGAAGCTTGTTGTCCACATTTGTGAGGTTTCATTATACTGTCAGTTTACGGGATTTGTTGCGCACTTATTCACCACTGCCATCTACAACAATATTTTGCACCAGCTTGAAAACTGTATCGTTGCATATGGTGTTCTCAAGTGAACCGAAAGGTTGTGTAACTTGGACTGTCAGCAGCTCTCACTTGGGAATTTTCATATGGCTGACTGCTCAGGCATTGCATAACCTACTACCGCATCTGACTGCTTAGCGTCTTATATGGTTCTTCATTCGGTTCTCCCTAATGGTGCAGTGGTTCCTTGTGGTTGTGCTGTATGACCCTTCGACTGCACTCGTGGGTCGGTTTGGAACTGGCGACATGCATAGGTGCCGCTTTCAGTGACGTAGTTGCATTCAAAATCTTTCTTTGCCTGTCTAACCTCACTTATCTTTCATTTCTATTAGTTTTCTTCGCCGTGCGTCTACTCAAATCACCTCTGGTTCGATGATTCTTTCAGGCGGCAACCTGACCGGTTGTCATTGAGTGGTTTGCAGCGCTAACCTGCCACCTCAGAAGTCAGGGGTTTGAATCCCGCTACCGCCGGTCCGCCGTCGTCCGGCTCGCTACTACGCATGACATGGAAACTTTTTGTGATTCTCTGCCACTCCAAGGCTTAGGGTCAAGTTGCCGTGGGTCTTCATTGTACTCGTGCGCAAGCATGTAATAAATTAAAAAGTTCAATCTTTGCACTTCGCTACTCAAGCAAGGATGTACTTTATCTCACACAACCTTCATTTTGAATGATTCAGTCCCATTCAATCACTCAATTTATTCTCTAGGCGACCTAAATAATACATTTATTTTCATGGTAATTGTTGTTTGTTTAATCTGAAAGACACGTTATTCTTCCTCTTCTGGAGCTTTTCCTTACCTGAGTGCAATTATCGATACCTGATACTCGTCGTTTTATAGACAGGAAAAGTGGCTCGAAATGATTTACAGATCAGACAGACATTATTGTTATAAAATTACCATGAATAACCGGGGTACCTACTCGTAAGAATGTGTATAAAAATGTGACGGGAAACGAAATCCGCGTATTACATCGTGTACATTTGTCCTTATCCTTACATCTCGATGATTTTTTGTGCAAAATTCTGTCGTTATTTGTCCATTATATTGAGTTGACCGGCGACGTTTTCCATATACGAGCATCTTATAGTCATTTTGCCAATGTTTGGAATTTCCTGAGGCTGTAAGGTGTGAAACTTTCAGGTTGCCATCACTACTCTTTCGTTCACCAGATTTGAGCGTAGTGCATTTTCCTCACGTATTTTCATCCGCATTCTTTGTTCGCTCACTGCTCCCTCGAGTACACTCGTCAGTTCACATCAGTTGATAGCTTAGGCGCAATATCTGTGATATTTGGGAGTAACAAACGAAATGTACTGAATAACAGGACGATGCCCGAAGTTCGAAAGTAGTGTGAAACAATGCCATTGTTGTCCTACCATCGATCTTGGAGCATCAGTACTCAAGCCAGAATCGTTTCTGCTCTCGTTGATGTGGGACAGAGGATAAGCGACTTTTCCCCATCCACCCGTCCGTATTCATCTCTCCCGCTTTTTAACAACCCACCTTTTATCACCTATTCAACCAGGAACAGTCTTACTTCCTCGCCCATACTCGTCCTAGGCTTCGTTATCCCTCCTATTCGTGTCCAACGTTTTTATCGACTCTCAGTCAAACGTGACGTATGTTCCTTGGATCATTGGACGTTGTCTGCTGATAATTTCCTATTGTACATAGTCTATTGTCTAAATACTGGGCTCTTGATTCCTGGTCAAATGGTGAGTTGTTTCAGTTAGGCCTATCTTTGCTTTGATTGTCTGAGGTCAATGAATTAAGATAAATCAATTTTTTCCTTATAACCCAAGGTGTTTGAGCAGGCAAAATACCCTTTTTGTCCCAGCTTATCCACTAGAAACCAATGGTCCCACACTTTAATTTTAAGCTGAGTGTAGTTAAAACTAGGTTTCTTCGGTGGACAAGGCCAAGGTTACAGAGTCTTTACACGAGAATTTCCGTTGTTAGAACTTAGCAGTACAACTTTCAACAGTTGGTAAACAGCAGTCAACGAAAGTAGAATAGACAAAGACCCCTTACACAAGTAAATAGAGCACGCCGCTAGAATGGATGAGATAACCACAGGGTTAGCACCTCGATGTAAACACATGGATGCCCATAAAAAGTTCAAATCCACGACATCGTTTGTCGCTTCACAGGTTTAGCATGTTTTTAACCCCGATTACTGGAGTTGTTTTACGAATGGAATTTATCAGAAGCCGAATGGCTGACGCATCGTTCCGACTCGGTACATCTGTCTTAGTGAGCCCCCTTAGCTGTGGTTCACGTTTCCTTCAATGTGCTAACTCTAGTTCTATGGAAGGTAAATCCTACCAAAACGACGAATAGTTCGATTTCATGTTCGTCCTTTTTACCATAGGAAGATTCATTTGAATCCATCTTTGTATGCGATAAGCACCAATCCTTTGACGAACAACTAGATTCCTGTTCTGCTAGTTTGGTTCAGTTATCTTTCCATGTTCTGTCTTCGATGTGGAATGCTTGTCTTTTCCCGAAATAAAAGCCTCTTTTATCCGATGACCAAGGATCGTCGGTTCATTTACTTAACTGAAACATGTCGAGTGAGATTTTCTGTCTGATACTAGATCACAGTGTAATTCTCGTCACATTTCAGTTTAGTTGATGTTCTCGCTGAGAGCCAGCAATCAAAAGCGTTACACCAAATGCATGGTAATGGTCTTGACTGAATATGAGAGCCATTTTGACACGAATTGCAATCATTTCCATAACAAAAACGGTTCACGCAAACTGTTTGGTGTTGGAAAGCGCTCAAATGAATTTTGACTGTTTCGTTCCGTTTCTACTTTTGACTTTTCACTTACTCGGTTCAGCGGATGAACCGCATGTGTCTTAATCTCGAATGACTCACGTGCTACTTGGTCACAAGGCATAGATGCATAGCGGTTAAATGCATTCACTTTTATCGCATTGAGGGATCTGTCCATCCAGAAGCCAATTCATCATCAATATATGTTTGCCCCGGTCCTCGAGTGCTGGTCAACACGTCTCAGTAACTACTGGATTAGTTCATCCGTCTCCCGCTCGCTGGGACCTCGTTCGAAAACACAAGTCCTGTCGGTTTTGTTACTACCATGTCCATTTATATAGCAGAAGGGTTCAACTTCCTCTTGGCTTTCTGAAGAATCTGTTCTGTGATTTTAAATGCCGTGAGTTGTACGTTAAATACACCAGGTGTGTTTATAACGAGTAATTAGAACTGCGTGAACGTTTACGTACTAAGGATGCATCTCACTGGTTGCTTGCGTTTCCCAGACCACGTCCCGTCATTAGGGTTCACGAAGCGGTCTAGAAGACAACCTTTTTTATCGCTCTCAAAACGTTTGCTGTGTATTCACATGATGGGTCGATGAAAAGCCCGGGGGAATTGTTGATCTTTATGACGGCCGTGCCTGAGTGCACTTCGAAATACACAAACACCAATATCTTCGT